ACAAAAAAAGCCATCCCTCCTCTGGACAAGTCAGTGTAGCCATTAATGAATGATGAACTGAAATAGATGCGTTGTATCATACCCATCACACGATCCACCCCACAGCCTGCTGCAGCGAAGCCTGCATGAAAACTGACAGCTTGGTGGATTAGATTTTTAAATCGCCACCCCAACACCTGCAGGTCCAGGTCCATCTCCAGCAGCTACACGCCCTCTAAGTTGAAAACATTTGACGAGAAATTCTAACCCCTGTGCAAAAAAAAAAAAAAAAAAAAAAAAAAAAAAAAGACGATCCTACCCCCGCCCCCCCCTGCCTCCCATAAATAAACGCAGAAAAGCTGGATGAGGGAGCGCACCGTCCCCGCCTCGCCGCCACCAGCAGCGGCGGCAGCAGCAGCGGCTCATCTGTCGACAGGAGAGCATTTTGAGGCGTGTGCAAGTTGCCGAGGTTTTCCAGATGCGTCCTCGCTGCTCACTGTGTTTACCAAGCCTAAATCGTGGAGGCGACGTGAGCCACACGCATACAAGGAGAAATAATAACACCAAGCATCAGCAACACCCCATTCCTTGGGAAGGAGCGGTAGAAATCGCACGCCGCACGTTGCAAAGGCGAGCAATGGAAAAAGGGCGTAGCGGCGGACGGAGCATACCTGGAAGGATGTTCGGCGTCGCAGTTCCCCTGCGCCCAGCTTCTGCTGCTGAGACTGAGCACTGCACAGAGCCTGAGCCGAGCATGCCTATTGGTAGGCAGAGACGCGCTGGTTGCTGGCTGCCTGGACTGGGCGCTCCTCACTATACAGCTGAGGTGGGGTGGGCGCCTCACATGCAGGGATGTCGGAATGGTTTCTTCCAAACTGTTCCCCCCCAACTTTACCTTTGTTTCATAGCAACAGTAATTTTCACCCCCCTCACACTAATTCAGCCTGTACTGCTGACTCCAATGGTAATTACTTCTACTTTTAGTTCGGGTTTTTTTTTCTGCACCACCTGACAGATTTATTTCCCCACATAATTCGCATTAACATCTGTATGCACCCAATTCTATTCTGCAAGACTTAGTTGTGCAGCGCAGCAGCAAGCAGCACCACACCCTTTGGTGATGTTGATGACTCGTCACTGTGTGTGTCGCCCACCTCCCATCCAATGCCAGGACAGCTTGGCTAATTGAAAGTGCTGGACTTCGGCTTTACTGTGCCAGCTATGGCATGCAGCACCGAAAGGGATCCCTCATTTGGAGGAAGATGCATCCCCCAGTATGGGTAAGTGAGAGTCGTAAACTTTCTCTGTAGTTTATTTCTTATAAAATGTCACAATGTCATGATAGTGTAGTGTGAGACAGATTATATGTGAAAAGCTTCTCTGCCTCATGCATTTACACAATATTTTAACATTATTATCTAATGTAAAACATGGTAAACATTCAGCTGTGCAAAATGCTTGGGAGGACTTAGCTCCGCCTTCAGGATGCAGTTCCTGCTCTAAGCTGCAGTTTCTAAACTTCTGAGTTTCTGCCCCACAGAGCAGCTACCACTCAGCTCCTTCAGACTAGCCAGCAGCAATTAGCAACCACCTGGTGGAACTGCGCATCTGCTGAGTTCATTTTACAATTCACTTATCAATGAAACACTGGTAAAACATTGTTAAAGGCTCAATGACTCTCATCTCCAACATGTTGGACTTTGGTCAGAAAAATATTTTGTCTCAATGCACCAGACTGAGACCAAACATATTTAAAGAAGAATAGACCAACTCTTCTGTGTATTCTGTGCAGTGCACAGGCAGAGGCTTGCAGCTGCAGTGAAAACTAAAATGTCTGAACAGATCTTAATACTAACACACAGCTCCTTTTTCAGTGTAGATCATGTACAATATAATTTGCCACTTTCCAGTTTTGCACCATATTGTGTTATGAAATTCCATTGACACGATTAGAAAGTTTGTGTTTGTGACGCAACAAAATGTGGAAGAAGTTGAAGGATTATTTATATGTTTGCAAGGCTCAGTAAAAATAACTTTCACTCTTTGTTCCTGGAGATGATAGATTGTAAGGTTACAGCCTGTGGGAGTCTCTTTTTTCTTTTCCTGACCTTCTATCTATGAAGGACGTAGATACAGAATATAAGATGTCACAAAAAATAAGTAGAGAGCTCATTATTAGTGAAATCATCTTCAAATTTGTGACATGTTGAAGTTTTCTTCCTCTGACATCTTCCCTTAATTAACAACACTTCTCTGTGACATATAGACTGTTTTATTTGCATTTATATTTCAGCAGAAAATCTCTTTTTTATTTTATTTTTTAACGTGTAGATGCCTTGTAAGAAATGTTCTGCAGTTTGTGGAGAACCAATGGAGTATTGCAAAATGAGTGTTATTTAAATGGGCTGGTTCAGACGCTGCTGTGTGCTGCATTGGCTGGTCTCATTCCTTTATCAGCTCTGCTCCACTTCACCAGGAACTGGCAGCCTTTTCCTTTAACTCTTCACTGCTTTTAAAGTACTCTAAAAATCAGCAGCAGATAGCATACAAAAGCAGCTGCAAAGCAACTTTGAATATCAAATAGAATACATAAGGATATTTATTTCTTCTGCACACTGTTTTTTTCTAACAATAATAATTTTGGCTGGCTGATGTCAGATGGATGTTTCACATCATGGTGTTTTAAAGCCTTTTGGTAAACTGTCATTGTTTTCAAATGAAATAGGTGAGTAAATTCTGATTCATTGACTGTTGTTGCATGGAGTCAAAAATATGTTCAAGATCAACCTTTGATTTTATTTTTCCTGACTATCATGACTTCCTTCTATCAAGATAAACTTAAGTTCAGACTTTGCAAGCATCCGTCTTAAACTAAAATAAAATCCATTAAAATATTAATTACAGCTTGAGAATTAGACTGAGTCCAATTCTTGGTGTAGTTGAACTAGTTACATTTACTTCAGTGAACTTTTGGAAAAATTGTCCTTTAATGAGTATTTTTACTACACTGAACATTTACTTGAGTAATATTATCATGAAGTATCATTATTCTTACTTGAGTAAAATTTCTGCATGCTTTGTGAATCTTTTGCCTGATTTTATTGTTTAAAAAGTGTTTTTTTGTCATGACGTGAATCACTTTTTTTTTCTTTTACCAAAATCTGTTTTACTCTTAAGTAATTTCTTGCACAGCTACAAACATGCTTTAAGCAAAAAGTTCCCTCACACACAGAGGGAACAGTTTTTGTTAGTCTCGTAAATTTCATATTGAAAAAAATTGATTCGTATTTTTTCCATCTGATGGTCATTTTTAAATAGCAAATTTTAATATTTTGATCAGTTATTCAGTACTTGACTTTTTACCAAATGTCCAAATGTTGTTGTTTTTTTTTATAATGGCTACTTTTGATTTTTTCAGTTTTAAATTTGTTCAAGTAGCACTACTCTAACTTGAGAACAGTTTTTGGATACTCGCCTCTGCTGAAAACGAACAGAGAGATAAATAAAGTGTTCATTTGTTTATCAGTCTGAAAGGAAACCTTTGTTGTGGCATTTCATTTTTTGCTGCAGATGGAAGAAAAATGGTCTGACTCCTGATGTCAAGGGCATTTATTGTTCTCCTCATGAAGGTGATTTCTGAGCCTCATCACCTTCATCCTGATCTGTTCTCACACAGACGTCTAAAACATAGACAAACACATTTAGAAACACACACACACACACTATCTGCCCTCTCGCTGTCCCCAGCCTCTGTTGCCTAGGACACAGATGTGATGGCGATGGGGACCCCATCCCATTACACGTCAAAGAGGCTGTGTGAGTGGCTGCAGGAGAATGCGCGGGGGCTCTACCGCCCTCTTGTGGCCACAGCGGAGGATGTGTTTTCTTTATGCCAAGATTCTGCCTGGTAACCCAATATGCTGACTTTTCTGGATGCAGCCAGCCAGCCATGAATTTCTAATGAAATACCTCACTCCGAGAAGCCTCACAGGAGACAGAGATGAAAAGTTCAACATGAATAATCACTTACGAGATCAGAGAGGAAGTTTACGACGCCATTAGTACGCTTTATGTTTGGCTAAATTATTTCACAGCCACAGCAAGTTAATATCTCCGCTCTGGTTTTAAAGAATTAATGCTATTTCATCCACCATGTTCTCTATCACTTATAACCTTTAAATATGATATGCACTGTATATGATAACAATACATGGCTCAGACTAATGCACATGACGTCATAAAACCTGTGATTATTGTTGACTCAGCTTCAGCAGCAATGAACTTTACTTTCTGTAGCTCATCATTTATATACACTGAGTTATTCTGGTACTACTCCAAGTATTTCTACATTAACTTATGGCATCAATAAACAAAGAAACGTAAATTGTGTTGTTAGTTCTACATGTTTTTGAGACATTTTCATTAAAGAAAAAGGGAAAGTTTTATTTAGAAAACAAATATATTTGCTTTCATTCTATCAATAAAATCAAATATCAAGGCTACTTTTTTCTTGTGGAGTTAATTTCATATTGAAACATTTTTTTATGTGCCGAAAAAGCTTAGAGAGCAGTAGGGGCCCTAATGAGGGGCAGAAGGGGGACATGGCCCCTTTTGAAACTCACTGAAAACCTCAAATAATCATGTTCATGTTATAGGAAGGCAAGCAGAGTCATATTCTTAAATGAAGTCAGAAATGTAAAACCCAATCCAATAATTATTCATGAATTTATTTTGTTATTGTCTTGTTTTTATTTACTTTGGGATTTTTGGAGGTGATTTGTTGTAAAGTTTTCTTGTCATTTTGTAAAATGAAAAATACACAGTAAAACGTAGATGACAAACAAACAAATTTTTCTCCACCATATGAGGCATTTGTGGCTCATTGTTGAAGAGAAAAAACAAACTATATGACCCTATAAATTTGAAGGATTTCCTTCCATCTGCAGCCTTAGTAAAACTAAGTTTGTACAATTTCCATACAAAGCAAAATCTCCATAGAGAAAATAAAATCTACAACATGGTCTCTGGAATATAGTGTAGTTTATTCATTCTAATCAATGTGCTATTTAAATATTAAAAACATCAAGTAAAAACAGCCACATATATATATATATCTATATCTATATATATATAGATAGATAGAAATAGATATATAGATATACACAGCAGCAGAAGCAGGAATTTGGGCAGAACTGAGCAGGGCTTGGTTGTGCTTTTACATTATACATGGCCGAAACCAACAAAAATCAAAGAAATATAAAAGGCAGCAATGCAAAATACAGCCTAATATTCTCCAGGGCTTTTGCAAATAAAAATTTGAAGAAGACTTTCAGAAATGCTTTCCAGAAATTTCTAGAATACTCCAGATTAAACAAGCTTCTTTACTTTTCTGAAATTTCTAAGTTAATTCGCCATAATATCCAGGTTATGTTTCTGTAATTTACAGACTACCTGTCTTTAAAGACTTAAAGAGCAATTTTCTGGTTAGTTTCTGTTAATTTTATGCTTTTATACTTTACCTCTGTGACGTTTACAGGATACCAGCTGCAACTCAATTACTCTATAAAATAATACAGTTTTTTTTTTTTTTTTTTGCGGATATAAGTTTAGGCAATTTATAAGTTGATTTTCTAAAATATACAGATTAATTTTTCTGGAATTTTATCTTAGTTTTGTGGAACTAACTGAAGACTTTCCTGAAACTTTTTTGGACCTCGCGGGCTACTGTTCAGGTCAAGTTCCAGTAAGTGAATGGTAAATCAGGCAGTAACCTTTATAAAAAATAACCTGTACTTTTTAGAAAATAACTTGTAAATTCTGGGAAAGTATGACTGCATAATATATTGTTACCAAAGCAATAACCTTGTGAAGCAGCATCATGTTGACCTTTTTCTAAAAGGTTTTATATTCTCTGTTTACAATAATGTGAGTAAAGATATAAATGTTGTTTACATCAGGGGATATATTTTTGTTCAACAAAAGTGATCCTAGATAGCTTACTAGCACCAAATGAAAGTTTCTACCCAAATAAAAAAGGGAAAATGTTTAATTAACTGTAATATTTCTAACTGATTTACAGTAACTCTTAATCTGTGCATCTAAAAAAGTTTGTTTGTATTTCTATATTTTCTAAAACTGCAGCTTAGAGTAAAGCATCTCTGCACTGTATCTATTTTAAACGGCATTAATAATCAACATATTTAACTTTTCGTGTGAAACCATCAGTTGGGCGAAAAGGAAAAAACAAAACAAAAAAACTAATTACTGTCTGTGCAACATTCTTTCTGTCCACAGGATGGACTGCTGTTAAAACCCACCTGAAGCATAGTATTGTCATTTTAAAGTAGATATAGGCAAGGGTGATCAGAGCAAATACAACAAAATCAGATATGCACATTGAGTACACTTATAACAAATAAGACAAATATTAAAAAATATTCTTTTATAAGGTAACACAAGATTGTGGCATTTACCGTGGGATCAGTGGGTGTGTTGAAATTACTCATCTGCCTTAAAAGAGTCTTTAACACACAACTTTGATGATGTGGCGAGATACTGAAGGTTCTTTGTAAACATTCTCTGTTCTAGGCCTCTGTTTCCGATTGATCGGTGGTGACGCTGCCATTCAACTCGCCCAAAGCTGATTGCTCCTGGATGTCCGTCATCTCCCCGACGGTGAAGATGGGTTCCCCCGCCTTGCTGTGGGCCGAGTCGCCGTCCGGCTGCTTGGCGGCCTGCTCGGCCAGCGTGGGCTCTTCGTCCAGCCTGCTGGAGATGGACCAGTAGAGGTGAGCGTCGAGTCTGGCCGCGGCCAACGCCAGCTCCCGAGCCGAGCAGGAGGGCGTGTTCACCTTGGTGGGTGTGAAGGAAGGTAAGTTAGTTAAATCTGATCTGTTTACACTTTCATTTGGGTTTCGAGTATGTCTCAAAACAGCCCAGTTTGCTCTACTAATGCTTTTCAAAGATGTATGGTTGTGTAATTGCACGACCATCTGCAGCCATTTTGCGCGTAAACATTGAGTTGGTGGGCGTGGCCGGCAGAATTGTCCACTATTTGCAGGAGGTTATAGTTTCTAACGCCAGTGAAACGACAACCACTGGGTTAAAAGCTCAACGTGCAAATAAGAAATCTTTAAACTGTAGTATGAATATAGTTGAAAAAAGGATGATTCAGACTGGAAAATATGAACAGAGCCTTCGGTAAAGCTTGTCCATCATATCATAACTTGAATTTAACTGCTTGCCAGTTTTAGCAATGAAGTTGCCAGAGAAACCCTTCCCTGGAGATGAGAAAGAGGCATCCTAATTAGAAGGTCAAACCACATAATCAGACTCCATTCAATGCAGCTTCAGCTTTTCTCCAGTCTCACTTCATCTGAGAACAACCCAAACTTCCTAAGAAAGAAAACTGATTTCAGATCATGGAACTGTTTTGATTTCTGGTTATGAACCTCACATCGTTTATCAGTTTTACTTTACTAAACCTCTCATCTGTACAAGTTACAAAAATACAAACATTTTTCTTTATTTCAAGAAGCTAAGCTCAAATTTAAGACTTTGACAGATTTTTTTATGGAGAACAGCTGCTCTTGTGGTATCATAGAACTTAATTTACTCAAATTCCCTTCCTATTTAGTGACTTTGAGGTGTAAAATTGGAGTTCCTACATTTCCCAGCATGCCATTCAGTAACCCCATGAGAGTGTGAGAATTTAGAGTTGTTGGTGGGGGCAAGTACAGAACTGGGAGAGTTTTTATTTACCAGAATTTTGTGTTTTTAAGCTGCTTGAAATGACTGTTAAGGCAACCAAAAGATAACATTTTATCTGCTTTCTATAAAATAGGCAAAAAAATATAAGTAAATTGATTCAAAACAATTAAGAATTTTAATGTTATCTTTGAGGAGAAGCTACCTCAAACGTGTGATGAAAGGCTCCGTAGTCGATATCAAAGAAGCCCTCCGCCAGCAGCATCATGGGGCTGAACCTGTGACCCCACAACACCTCCTCCGCCAGGTAGGAGCTCCGCGCCTGGCATGTCATTCCTGCACACATAAAACACACTCATGAGGTAGAAAGACAAAGAATGCCCCCTGACCAAATGGTTAGATCTGTTGAATTTTTTTAGAAAACACTCTGATTATTCAGAATATTGAGTGAATCTTCATCAGAGTAGACAAAGCATCTGCATAGGATAGCATGAGATTAGGCAATAAAACCTTTTGGTCATTTCTGATGCTGTAATCTATTGTATTACTGATTTGCAATCGTCAATTTTAAAGTTGGGAAATTTTTAATACAAAGCATTATGTGAAGGAAATATTCATTTCAAACATGTCTCACCGGTGGCCTCCACCATTCCTTCCAGAATGACCACAATCTCAAAATCCTCCTTCTCCAGCTGAGACTGCGACATGTCCCAGAAGGCCGAGCGCGCGTCGATTTCATGGGAGATCACCAGCGGAGAGACGAGGAAGAGGCGGTCATCGCCCGTCTCAAAGCCCACACTGATGTCTGTTTGGTCCAAAGGGATGAACTCACCTGCAGGAGACAAAAACACCTAGTATCCAAACAAGATGCAACAAAATAGCAATTTATTGCAAATATGTTTCCATTTTGATGCTTGTCCTTGTTTTACCCTCTTGGGTCTGCTTGGACTTGATTAGTTTGGCCCTCATGTTGGCCCCAACAATGTGGGAACTCCGAAGGTCGCCCACTCTGAACATCAGGCAGAGCTTGTCGTCTCTCAGGGAGATGACGGCATGCTTGGAGAACACCAGCGTCTCGGCCCGTTTATTAGGCTGGGAGATCTTCACGAACATGCAGCCGACCTGCGCAGAAAGGAAACAGGAAGAAACAAGCACGGCCTGCGGTCAGAATCCGAAACAAAACAAAAAGATAAAACAAAAAAATGACCCACAGGGTATTTTCCTCAGCTGGAAAAGCGGAGGATTGTTGAAAAATTAAAAGCAATGCTTGTTATTCAGCATTTATAATTAACTCTTCAGCTAAGCAGTCCAGTGATGCTGTGCAGCTGCAGCATCTCCATTGTAGCTGCTGAATACAGACTGAGCTGAGCTTTTCTCAATAGACCTATTTCCAGCTTTCAGTGTTTAAAGCAGTAGTGACACTTGAATTAACCTCAGACTGAAATATTTTTAAGATGCAGAGGGAAACATCCCACGTGTCCATCAGCTCTGAAGATGTTTTTTTTTGTCAATACGCAGACATGCATAAACATGATTTACCCTTGATGCTGCTGCGAGAACTCATTTAAATCAAATTAGTGCATGCAGTATTAAAATGTTCCCGGTTTTGAAGCATCAGATCAGTGTCTTTTAATGATATTCTAAGCTTCTATAGGCAGGATAAAAACTAACCAGATATTTAAATAAAGCTCCAGTTTGACGTTATTAAATCTTCCCTTTTCTTGATCAGTTAGGAATTTGGTAAATGCTAAAAAAAAAAAGTGCTAGTTTCTCTGGCAGATTATTTCACCTATAGCAAGACATTTTTCACATTTTATGTTTCTTGTAAAACCCAAAATACTATGTAAAATGTTGTGTTTTTGCAGTGTATTGATGTTTACACCAACTTCTGATTATAGTGTCTGAAAATTGAACCTAAAATTGAGATTTATGAAATCAGAAAACATTTTTCCAGTCTGTTACTTTTCAGTTTTGGCCTAGTTGTGTGAACTTCAGCCTCTGTTTTCTGTATTCAGTTGACAGGAGAGGCACAGGTATGTCATTTTTGGTGATCAGGTGATATTTTGCAAAATCTTTGTCATGACAACTGGTGATTTGAGCTACTGTTGCCTGAGTTGCAGAGCTGTAATTTGTCGGTTGGACAGCATTTACACTCAAACGTGAAAATAGCTGCTAACAGATGCGCAATTATACAACTGTATGTTTTTAAAAAGCAAAGGTAGAGCCTCCTGCACAACCAAGAAGAGAACAAGTGGTTTCTCGATGGTAAGTTAATGGCTGCTGTCTGTTCCAGCAGCCATTGTACAGTGCATACAATGGCACTACATGTGCAGACTAAATGTGCTGGAGCTCAGCTTGTGTTGCTAGGTAAGAGGCTGGGCTTCACAGTGATTTGTGACACTACATTCCTGAGGTTTTTGAAACGGCACCATAGATCGTCATTAAGTTATTGCCAAAAATAAGTGTTTAGTCTGTTTTTAGAAGCACAAAAACATGAAAAACATGAATTTTGTATAATAGATGCCCTTTAAAGTGTGATGAGATACAGAAGAATTTTTATTATATGAGACAACAGGTATTAAGGACGATCTGTATACAGGTGCAACAGTACTTATCATCTCTGTTGCTAAGCAACTAATGTCACTTTTCTCATTTATTGAACAGAGAATTTCCACTTTGGAAATAGTGACGAAATGACCGTCCAAATGAATATCTTCAGTTTTTACTATTTCTGTCCCCTCGTTATTAGAAGTGTTTATCCAACTTTCCACTGCTGTAATATTAGATTTTCTTCTAAAATAAATCATATCTCACAGCTCACCATGAACGCATTGACCATCGATCCCAGTATGGCCTGCAGCAGCAGCAGCATGGTGCCCACTGGACACTGATCGGTGATGACTCTGTGCCCGTAGCCAATCGTCGTCTCTGTCTCGATGGAGAAGAGGAAAGCTGATATGAAACCGTTGACATTGTTCACGCACGGCGTCCACGCCTCGTCCTCCAGATGGTCCAGATCCCCCCTTCGGGAGCGAAACGAGGAGAATGTGTGAGAAATAGCAGGGTGGGAGGAGGCGACAAAGTGGGTGTCAAAAGAAACAGCAAGAAGAGTGAGAAGAGTTTTTTTAAATTATTATTATTGTTTATTTTTAGACCGTATGGTTTAAGTATAAACATGGCAACTCAGCTCTCCTTTTCACTCGACGGAATAAATCCTGCACAGATTTATGCTTGGTCATTAACCTGACATGTTCGGCTGTCATTTTTTCCCCACTCTGCAAAAATCTAATACCTTTTTCATCACTTCGTCCCAGTATATCACAGGCATAATTCAGCCCTCTCAGAGCCTGCAGAGCTTCCTTTCAAACACACACTACACGGGTTAATGTCGCTCATTACCACTGCTCCAGCAGGAGAGGCACAGCTAATTAATGGAAGTGGTGTGAGGCACTTTATATAATCTTTGACTTTTATCGAACTGTGCCGGTGACCAAAGAATTGAGGCATCACAGAAATTGCTCTGGCAACACTTAAATGCAGCCTGGAGCAGGTAGAAAAGGTCATCGTTTCTCTAGCAGACCATGTTAGCTAATTAGCTCCAGCACACATCTGGAAGAGAGGCCCTGACATGATGAAATACACAGCAACGTTTATATGTGCATGGTCATCTGTTTTTTTTTTTTCATTTTACTTAGCGGGATTTCAAAGCAAAGATGTCGAAAATGTAACGCCTCCTTTTGATGATTAAATTGATAGTTTTGGAATATGTGATCGCTAACCGGCTTGCTAAAAGCTTTGTGAAAAGATTGATGCCACTGTTTTACCAGTCAGCAAAATATGATGCTGTGGCTAAAAGGCTGTTAAGCTATCTCATCACTGGAGTAAAGGAAACAGCTCACTGGACGAGGAATTTCTAAAGCTGTGTTAACACAAAATATATTGCATCTGGAGAAAGAAATGAAAAGGTTTTAACAGGGTTAGTGTCAGTACATCAATTATAATTAGCTACATTTTTATTAGTTTGAATCTGACTAGCATTTAAAAAAAACAAGTTCTGTGTATTCTTTGTTCATCCTGTGAATTTTTAAACTTTCTGATCGTTTTTGTGTATTTTGTTTGCAAAAATCCAGCAGTCTCAACTCATGCTACTATTCATATTTAATCTCATAACCTAGACCGTATATTCTGTGTGTTTGCAGAATGGGTGGTAGATGCATAAACCTTACTAATGCTGAAAAACCTTACCTACAGTAGGCTATGAGGTACCAAATGGCGCCAAAGAAGAGCCACGTGACTGCGTAGGCCATGACGAAGACGAAGAGCGAGCAGCGCCAGTTGAGGTCCACCAGCGTGGTGAAGATGTCGGTCAGGTAGCGGTACGTCTCCCGCATGTTGCCGTGCTGCACATTGCAACGGCCGTTCTTCTCAACGTAGCGCTGCCTCTTACGCCGAGCCCGAGCTGACAGAAGACACAGAACACAAACATTCACTCTATGTTTTATCCCATCATCTCCAAAACTCAGAAGTTCTGAATGAATTTGAAGCTTCGATCAGGATTTCAGTCTTAAAATGAGATGAGATAGATGAATGAAGGAGGTAAATGGAAACAGGGGATGCTCAGAGAAACAAGAATGGAAAACAGATGAAAACAGACAGGTGAGGAGCATAAAACAGACAGAGTGTGACAGGACAAATATCAAACACCAAGAGAAGAAAAGCTACAATAAAGAGCTGACAGCACAATAAAAACACATTAAATGATGATCAAACGTGTCACTAAGACTTTTACTGCATCAAATGCTACGGTTACACACAAGGCTTCCTCTTACAGGTGGAACTACAGAAAAAAAGAGTTGGAAAAATCAAAATATGACAAGAAGAATAGATTTTTGATTCAAACGATAGGCCTCGGATGAAGACTTATATAAAGTAAATGCAGCATCTTAGCGATTATTATGTGCAAACTAGAGTAGAGCTTAAAACACTGAGCTGCAGCTGTTTTTACCAATATTTGCAGATCTACATCTGATTAAAGGTTCTATTATAAAACAAACTCTTGAGAAAGAGAACAGATTGACTCATTTGGGTTATAATAGTTTTGGATTCTTCATTATAATTAATTTTTTTGTCTAATTCTGTTTGTTTTAGTTTGTTTTTTGAGTGGGTTTGCTAGTTTTTCTCAAGAAAGTCCCTCTCAAAATCAGGAGAGGTAAGAATGATGCAACTTTGACTCGTTTAGCACTCACGGTGATTCTAATGGAGAAAATATTACCGAACATTTTTTTTAGAACAGCACTAAGTATTCATCTTTTTATTAACCGAGCTTTTATAATAAACAGAATCTAATTTATCCAGAAGCTTTGATTAAATAGCACCCAAACCAACTTTTAATTAATTTATTAAGTTTAGCAAAACATAGCAGCCACTTGGAAAGAAAGTGACACAATTTCTGTTTTTATAACTGAAGAAATTTGTTCAATTAGGTCCAAATAAATTGTTTTTTTAATAAAATTCTTTTAAAGTTTTGGTTCTACATTGCATAACATCCCTTTCCCACAAAAACAAACCAACCGAACAAAAAAATGACTACTTTATTTGCTTGATTTTATTTTTATTTTCTTTTGACTGGACAATTTTGGCCTACATGACTTAAAGCAAAGAAAGTACTCATTGTATTGCTGCAGTTCTGTAACTAACAGAATTCTTAGGTTTAGACTTTTTCTTTTTGTAGCCAAGACTTGCTGTAAAGACTGGAGGCAAAAGATGAGCAGAAGTGTCAAAATCACTGAGGGGTGAAGAAGTGCTGCATGGCCCAAATTAGAGATTTGCTACGACTGCAAGTGAGATAAAGAGAGGAAGAGGAGGAGCAGTCAGTTATAGAGGAGAGAGCGTTGCAAAAACACAAATTCCTTAGTTCTTCTTTGTATAATATCTTACTACACTTAAATTAAGGCAAAACAAACTTGCGAGTAGCTGTGTAGTCTTGTTTTAAGTCATAAATTTCTTAATATTGGTAAAAATGATTGTTTCACTCACAACAAGACATTTTTCTCATGTTATAAGTGAAATAATCTGCCAGTAGAACTAATACTTCTGTGTTTTTGCAGTGAGAGATGGAAGAAGAGTCAAACATGATGGCTTTGCACCAAGTGGACTGTTTAGTTGTCCATTCTTGATCATAAAAAAACAGTATTTCTCTTGAGAAACAGGTTTGACATTGAAAAATGAAGGTCACAGAGGTCACTCACCCCAGCCGAATCGCCCCCTCTCTTTTTCAGGCCCCGGGGTTTTCTTCCTGTGCTGATTGGCGGTGGCTTCCCGTTCTGCGAGTTTGGACTGGAAAGACCTTTTGACTTTGGCCGGGGGTGAAAGGGAGGGTATGGTCTGTGTGGTGACGACGTGGCCCAACTCCTCGGATACGTTAAAGACTCCAGTGGAAGCCGTCGACTTCATCGCCGCCTCGTCTTCCTTGGCTTCAGCTTTCTCCTCCACAGGAAGGGCCAGGGAGTCGGGACGGGAAGGGAAGACGGAGTTCTCCAGCGCCATCGTCTCTCTGTCTATCTGTGTGTGTGTGTGTGTGTGGGTGTGTGTGTGTGTGTGGGTGTGGAGTATTAGGCTGTTATTGATATCCTCCTTGTGTCAGACTGTGTCCCGCTGTGATTGATTGGATTATTTGTTTGCTTGACTGAAGCCTGGAATGAAGGAAGAGAACACAATGACCAAATTAAACCATGATTGATTGCTCTCACTAAACATCATAAGATATTATTGTTTTTCCACAACATCAACATATATCAAACTCCTACAAACACACTTAGCTGCCTTGAAGATGTTTAGTAAAAATTATATCAGTTATGTCTAATCCCATTTCATCACATTACAACCACAAACTTTCACATAGGTTATTTAGGTTTTATGTGGCAGCATATAATTGGGACGTAAAAGGAAAATGGTGAATGGTTTTTGAAATTACTCAGAAATCTGAAAAGTTGGTTTGCATTTGTATTTAGCAGCTGTAAGTGTCTTGCAGGATGAGTGTCTTCCTGCTTTGCGGGTCAAGGCCTGATGAGATGAAGAGCAACGTCAGTTTTGATGTCTTGCCCAGATTATCAACTTGATCTATTTCTAGGCTTTGACTGGGCCACTCTAATCTAGTCTGACTTTCTTTTTCTCAGGATTCCAAAAAAAAGTCCAAATATTGAGATCAAAGTCTAATTTCTCAGAATTCTCTAGATAAAACTCAGAAAATGGAAATTAATGTCTGACTTTCTGATATTAAAGTCAAAACTATGAGATTAAAGTAACATTTCTTGGAATTCTGTAAAAAGGAAACATTCTGAGGTCAAAGTTACAATTTTGGGAAAACGGTGAGATTATGAAATTAAAGTTTGAGTTCTGTGATTATAGTCAGTTTTCTTGAAAACTCTGAAAAAGGTCTGAATACTGAGATTAGAATAAGAGATTCTGAGATTAAAATTAAATTTCTCAAAGATTCTGAGAAAAAAGTCAAAATACTGAGAATAAAGTGAGCGATTCTGATAAAGTCAAAATTCTCAAAAATTCTGGGATTAAAGTCAGAATACTGAGATTAAAATCAAATTTATGAAAATTCTGGAATAAAAGTGAGAATACTGAGATTAAAATCTGAATTAGGTTATTAAAGCATAAGATTCTGATATTTAAATCAGAATTATAAGATTAAAGTAACATTTCTCAGAAATTGTCACATTTCTTGAAAACTGAGAAAAAAGTCAAAATACTGAGAAAAGAGTTAAGATACTAAAATTAGGGTGAAATATTCGGAGACTAAAGTCAAACTTCTCAAAAACAGAGAAAAATGTCAAAGCAAGTGAATTCAGATAAAGATAGGAATATGGAATATATGTGTGGGTGTGTGTATAAAAACTGAACACTGTCCAGGTTAAAATGTTTGAGGTTCAAAAAGAGTTTACTCCAGCAACAAAATGTGAAAAGGTTGAAGACATCATTTTATAATTCGACACCTTTGAAACACAAGAAGCTGGAGTTGAAACAGGAAGTGGAATGATATTCTACAGATCTTTAGGATATTCTGTTCCCTGGTTTGAGAGACGACCTGATCCAGGAGCGCAGCTGTGCATATTCACACTGGAGGTTCTTTAATTAAGCCAGTTACACACACGCAAAAAGCCGCCTTGGGCTGTGTGTGTATGTGAGTGTGTGTGTGTGTGTGTGTGTGTGTGTGTGTGTGTGTGTGTGTGTGTGTGTGTGTGTGTGTGTGTGTGTGTGTGTGTGTGTGTGTGTGTGTGTGTGTGTGGTCCTTGCGTGCCAGTGTGAGTATATTGTGCAAGTGCACTCATGGTGCTATTTTAAATGTGGTTTATTTCTACCGTATGCCTGCTGAGATTTCTTACATAAGTCCCAAAGAGAAGAGAAATCTGCACAGCGAGGCATACTGTTCCCTGAAATATTTGCACGGGAAAATGGAGTCCAGGTCCTTTTCCAGCAGACCTGGATGTTGTGCCTCCATTTAGGCAACTGATCGCAGGAGAAAGAGGGAGCGAGAGAGAGAGAGAAAGAGACGGAGAGTGGCAGTCAAGATGACGCACTATCCTGCTGATGGATGGGTCAGAAATAGCCTCTGTTCCAGAGTCCCTCAGAGTCAGGAACCAAAAGGTTTCGGATTAATGTCACAAACATCCAGCATCCGACATCCTACCGGCTCAGCGTCGCAACTTCTCACCTGGATCGAGCTGACTGTTGTATCATGAGGAAAAAAAAAATCTGCTCCATAATCCGGCCGGCGCTGGTGATTCGATTCCACCCATGTCTGATCCTTGGTGGGAACAGCGAGACAGGATCTTTTGTTTTTTTTCTCTTCAGGAAAACAAGAAGCACCTCGACTCGACTCGGTCACGCAATAAATGAAAATCCGAAAGCTATAGGCAATGAATGATCAGGTTGAGGGGAGGAGCAGAACAGATTAAGCGGCTGAAGTGGAATATTTACGCGTCTGCGGAGCATGGTGCGAAATGGTGGCGTCGGGATAACCCGGCAGCTCCATGATCTGTGCGGCTCTGATGGAGGCGGTCAGGTGTTGAAGCCTCAGAGCGGAGGAGGATGCTGTCATCAGTCCAGCCCCTGTCAACCCTGCCTCAGTCTCAGCACAGCAGGGGGGCCGGTCTTCCTCCTCCTCTTCCTCATCCTCCTGCTGGCTGCGACATTCTCAGCATCTGCAGAGTTCACTGAAAAAAATAAAATAAAATAAAAACATCCGCCTTTATAAAATGTATTATTATTATTATTATTATTATATATATTATTATTATTATTATTATTTGGTCTGAGTTGATGTTGGAAGTCTTTTTAAAGTGTGCTTTCATTATTACAACCTTACATTATTAATCACTGTAACACTGCGTTATTTAAAGCCATTTTGGCTCGCGCAGATGTCGAACCGTCAAAGATATTATTGAATTGAATGAAATCAGCTTGAAATTCACAAGCTGCCATTCGCGTCACTGATGGGAATTCCGCCTCTTTTCTGGGATCCGGACTATTTGGGTCAGTTCTTTCGGCTCCAAAATGGATCTTCACTTCATACAAGTTCCAGCTCTATGTCAAAAAAATATTTTTAAACAATTTGAAGCAAACAGAGATTGTTGAAAAATATGACTTCTGAACACGCTCACAGCTTTCCGATACAAAGCTGACGAACTCAAAAGTGGCAGCAATAAGGTTGAGATTGCAGCACTGCATCATTACTATAACAAGTTGTGATTGCATTTGTGGTGAAACTATCACCACAAATACAAAGGAGTTTTTAATTAGAAAGAAATTATTTTTTTAAAGCTTTGTTTGTGAGGCATTGGGTACACCAACTTATTAGAAAACAAAGTCTAGTGTTGTAAACAGCAACAATAAATAAATAAAATGTAGAGCAACCAGAATCAGCTTGGTCCGATCTCCCACCAGGAGCTGTTTGCTAGAATGGACCCGACCTGAGCAGAGGCATGAGGCCCCTGACAGCTCTCAGGATCTCTGGGACCCTCAAACCCCTCCTGGGGAAAAATAAAACCAGCAACAGTTGTTTACTGATCTGGAGAGGCCTGCAGGAGGCGCTCTGGTGATAGAGGAAGACTTGGTGGTATGAGCTGGTGTTCTGATTGGCTGTGGTTCCTTCCTGGAGGAGTGCATTGGCTGACATGATGCTGCCATCACCAAACCGTTCTCCCTCTCCTGCTGTTTACATTTCACTTCCATGAACATAGATAGATCCCCTGATCATTTGGCCTGCTGTGTCTCTGCTCTGTCTTCTCTCAGCTTCAGTCAGTCGTGGCAGATGGTTGCTGGTACCGAACCCGGTTCTGGTTCTGCTGGAGGCTTCTTCCTGTTGAAGGAGAGTTCTTCCTCTCCACTGATGCTATACATGTATGCTCTGTATGAGGGATTGTTGTAAAGTCAGCTCAACACAAGCAATTTGCTGTGTCTGCTGATCACTGGGGTCTTCAATGGTGGAATTTTAAATTGATTCCAAGTGAAGAAGAATGGAAACATCTTATCAGTGAAGTTGTGTGAAGGTATGTATGTGTGTATTAGTATCCAGATCAGTGAATTACAGCTTTCCTCTGTCTCAGTCCAGATTCACTCTGGTCCTCTGGATCTTCTTCTGGACTGAGAGATCAATCAGAAAACTGGTGGAGGACTTGCTGAGTATTTACTACCAGAGAACCGTATAACTGCGGTAGTCGCTCAGATTCCCTGTTTTGCTTCTGGGCATTATAAAATAAAATAAAATAAAATAAAATAAAATAAAATAAAATAAAATAAAATAAATAAAATAAAATAAAATAAAATTAAATAAAATTAAATAAAATTAAATAAAATCTTATTATCTTCAAACATGCAACTCTCCAAATAAGATCAAGTGAATAGTAGTGTTGGCTCCCCTCGTTCAGTGAAAGGAACCGACCCGTCTTCGTGGCTCGTCCGCGAACGGCAAATCACTAGCAGTTTGGCCGCCAGCCTGTAGGCGGCAGCATATCCGCTCACTGCAGGCGTTGGTAGATCCTTTTTCTTCAAGATGTCGGTGTTCGGGCCAGTGGTGAAAATCCATCCCGTCGTTCTCGCCTCAATCTGCGACTCTTACGAGCGAAGGAATGAGGGGGCGAGCCGGGTCATCGGAACCATTTTGGGTAAGTTACGTCCTGGGGTAAACGTCGTCTTTCTTTTGGGGTGACATCGGGATAAAATGGATGGAAAAGCCGTGTGTAGCATTAGCTCAGCTGCTAACACATGCTGGCTTAGCGCATCCTGATGCAAACACATCTGGAGCATCAGCGGAGTCATATTCTTGTTTAAAAAGTCTGTTTTAATTAGTTTTTAACGTCCGCCTCTTTCAGGTACCATTGATAAACACTCTATAGAGGTGACCAACTGCTTCTCCGTCCCTCACAACGAGTCTGAGGATGAGGTGAGCTGCTAATACACGGCTTATGACGGCGAACCTGAATAAACAACGAGAGAAACGGAAGAGATCTTCTGTTTATATGCTTTAACACTATTATTCTATTTATATGAATACGCAAAACAATCTAATTTCTCATTTAAAATGATTTATTTAGAAAATAGTCAACATAAATGTTGTGTTTTTATTTGCAAACATAGATTTAAGCGAAAATGTAGAATGAACATTTGATAAATCCAATAGCAGTTGAGCTGAATAATCATTCCGCTCTGTATTTATAATGCAACAAAAGAACAACAAGGACAAGTTGCTTCCAGCCTCCCAGCTGTTGTTTTAAGACTGTGTACTGCTGGTCAGCTGGCTGAAAGAAATGATGTGCATTTTAGTTTTGCTTAAAAGAGAGTGTAGTTTTTTATGTTTGACAAACAAAAGTGTGGATGCTAAAGGACTGCCACCCAACATTCTAGCTGATTGGATGTAATCCTGGTTTTAATACACAAGAAGCTGAATGCATGTTGGCTACCGGAGCAGACAGCCTGACTAATTAATCAACTAACATCAGCTGGGTTTCTCTCTTGTTACAGAGCAAAATGGTATGGAGATACAACACTCAGTAAACACTTACAAACTACAGTGTAAACCCAGTATATGTGGGGGTCATGAATAGTCTAATAATGTCTCTAAATGCTCACTAAGTGCTAAATGCTAGAATGTTTAGCATTTAGAGTATTTATAAATGCTCAATAGTTCAAACAACAAATATAGCGTATTATGCATTGATAGACATAGTGGAAACCAACCTGGCACAACTGCAGGCTTCCCTGTGTCTGCTCTGGGAGAACCAGCTAAATCAGCTCTAAATAGGAAGATAAAAGGTGCTCATGAATTGGCTGCTTTGTGGATGCCAGCCGTTAGTGTCAGTTAGCATTATGGCTAAATATTTCAGCGTCCCAAGCTCCATTTTGTTCTTGGATATTTTAGACATGCTCTTTGAAAAAAGTCCACATATCGACAAATTTTCTACAAATAATTAATTTGACGTCGAGTTTCAGGAAAAATCATTGAACAGACAAGATCAACTGTGAAGTGCCACAGGCAATATTGTGATGGCTGGTATTTATTATTGTTTCTGCAATAAGTCTATTAATTGCTCCTCTGTTTTGAATTAAAGTAAATGTTTTATGTGATTTAGATTGACATTTGTCAATGTAGAATATGTTTTCACAGAAAAAGGTTAGAAACTTGTCCTACTTTTCTGTGTATGTGCAGAGGAACTTTTCTGTCCTACAAGCTCTGAAACCATCTCAAACTGTTTTCTGTTTCTGAAACCAGCAGAGCTGCAGCCCACTTTTATCTTCACATCAAACAGCAGGAGCCTGTTCTGCTGTTTGATCTGGAGCCTGGAGTGAGTGTTGGAAAGTCCAGACGTTCAGTCTGAGCTCAGATCACTCACAAAGAACTGACCTATATAAATAAAGTAAAATAAATAACAGCATGTAGTATCAGTGCGTTTGTAAACTTCTGTGGATATCTGCAGGTTGCTGTGGACATGGAGTTCGCCAAGAACATGTATGAACTTCACAAGAGGGTGTCGCCCACTGAAGTCATCATCGGATGGTGAGTCAGTTTGCTTCAATGGAGACGTATTGTATTTTCCGGACTATAAGTCGCAGATTTTTTTCTAGTTTGGCTGGGGGTGCGATTTATACCCTACAGAGACTTATGTGTGAAAATTAACACATATTTACATCATATCACATGTTATTTTCACAATAAACTGCAAGAGGGCGTCTGGAAAATGAGCCATTTCAAAAACATTCAGAATGTAACGCAAATCACCTGGCACTGCCCCTCAACTAGCAACCCCAGGGAAGCACTAGGATGTTTGGTCAACTGGCTTCACTGCTGATTGTGCAGTACAATAGAAAACACAAGTGTTTTGTTGTTGATTCAGAAACAATTTTATGCATTCTTTTATCTTGTGCATTAGTTGTATAATTGCGTATCTGTTTGCAGGCTTTTTCATGTGCAAATAAATGTGAGTTGGGGGACATGGCCAGAAGCTTATTTGGATTTAAAATGACAAAAGACCCTAAAATATCTCAAAATAGGCAAAACTGACCAGACTAAAACCTTGTTTTCTAAGAATGATTTTGCGCAAAGAAAAAATGTAAAGAACATGTTTTGTTTAGCCTGTCATAACCTGTTCAAGGAAGCACAAGAGGTCCCCTTTAAAGTTTAAACCATAGTGGAAAAGGTTCCAGCATATTGTCTTCTCTTCTCAGGTATGCCACAGGCTTTGATATCACTGAACACTCGGTGCTCATCCATGAGTACTACAGCCGCGAAGCCACCAACCCCATCCACCTGACCGTGGACACGGCGCTGCAGAGCGGCAAAATGAACATCCGCGCCTACGTCAGGTGAGCTGCTCTGCTTGTTCGCATGTGTGTGTTTGTGTGTGCAGCTCCAGGCTGATGGTGACCTTCTGGATGTGTTTGTGTGTCTCCTTCAGTGCACAGATGGGTGTACCAGGAAAGACTGTTGGTGTTATGTTCACCCCGCTGACTGTCAAATACATCTACTATGACACTGAGAGGATAGGTGGTAAGCACTTTACTGGTTTTCTTAATTCTGTAGGAAATTTTTATTTCAAAGTCTAGCCTAACACCACATTGGAGGCTTTTGACCTTAAAGAAAAGTTTTGAAGGGCATAAAAAGATTGTATTTAAATCAAAGACAAAACAAAGAAATACAAATGATTGCTTAAGCAAAATAAACAAATCTGCAAAAAGAGTTAGACCTTTTGGTTTCAGTTCAACAACAACAACAAAAAAGCTGCAGCTTCTAAGCTTTTGCCTCACAGTGACTTTGCTACTCAGCTCCTTCAGACTAGCCAGCAGCAACCAGCAAACACTTGGTGGTTCTGCACAGCAGCTGACCTCATTATCTGAGCTACTTAAAAACATTGTTAAAGGTTTAATAGTGGAGCCATATTGTGATGGCAGAAAGAGCAGGAGTTTTTTAAGAGAAAGAGGCCCAATTTCAAGACGTTAAATTACAAAATCATTTATTTTAAGTCTTATTTGATAAATATATAATTTTTACACTCTGAAGTTAACATACTTGATTATGCTACAAAATACCACAATATGCCTGGAAATACATAACACTGCCCCTTTAAAAACAAGAAATGAACTAATTAAAATGATTTCTAACAGTCCTCTTTGTAAACATTTTGACTTTATCTCTATTTTGTAGTGGATCTTCTGCAGAGAACTCGTGTGACTCCCAGCCGCACCAAGGGGCTGACCTCTGACCTGTCCCAGGTGGGGAGCGCTGCGTCCAGGATACAGGACATGCTGACCACTGTGCTGGCATACATCGAGGATGTGCTGGTGAGCAGAAAAGCCTGGTTCTGATTCGGTCTCTATGATGGATTTAAACCCTGATCGTAATATGTGTGTGTATGTCCCAGTCTGGAAAGGTGACGGCTGATAACAGCGTGGGTCGCTTCCTCATGGATCTGGTCAACAAAGTGCCGACCATCACAGCCGAGGACTTTGAGAACATGCTCAATTCCAATATCAACGTAAGCGCTCGTCAAAAAATATTAAAATCCATAGTTTGCTTTTAACGTATGACATCATATTGAAGCAAAGTCTTTCTTGATTGTGATACAAAGCTGTAACAAATTTCTGTTTGCAGGACCTGTTGATGGTGACCTACCTGTCTAACCTGACCCAAGCACAGATTGCTCTGAATGAGAAGCTGGTGCTTCTCTGAGGAGAATATTTCAAGTCATATTTAATTTTTTGCATTTTTTCTGTTGTTTTGGCTAAAATGAATAAAAACATTCAACAGCCATATAGCGGATTTGATTTCTTCAAAGATACTTCTTCTGCAAGTAATTCATTGTACGAACTATTATATTCCTAATGGAATAATGCTTTTTATGATTTACAGTCACTCGAAAATTGTTCTTGGATTCAAATTTAGCTTGATGCAATTACTTTTTGTCATCAAAACTGATCCAACTTGTTCAGATTTACTTTTATTTAATTTTAAAAATGACAGATTTATGCAGAGGGTATGTGTCCTGAAAAGCAGCATGTGTCAGATTTTGATAACCATAAATAAAATTAAGTATGTTAGTAGTTGTTTTACTTGCACTAAACTCAAAGTGAACTTTTGTACTATATATAAAATTGGTTAAAGACAAATAGGAACTTTGGAAAATTGAGTCTAGGAAATTATAGTTTTGACACTTGTGAAACCTTGTATTAAATGCAATTAATTTAATTTAGTCATTTTTAATTGCAGTTTCCAGAATAATGCTGCTTTCAGTGGCAGTATGTCAAAGTAGCTCTACTACATTACTTTTGATTCGTTCTTTGAATCAAAAGTTTTGCATTGAGAATTGTTTTTCCTTCCCGTTAACATTTATGGCAGATATTAACTGTCATACAGAATCAGTCTTCAGTCAGTGGCCTGTTCAGATTTGTTGCAATACTGACTGCTACTGGAGATTTTTCCAGACATGTTGAAGATACTTGGATGAAATGAATTACGTTTAATTTACTTTTGGGATAAGAAAAGTAGTTTTTAAATTGGACTAGAATAAATAATCACAGTATAAAGTATTACATATCAAGCCTTTAAATACCTTAGTAATATAATGGATCTTGAGTCTTAGAGGCTAAATGTGAATAGTTATTATTTTCCCATGGATTGTTTTTGTATTCAAAAGAACTGAATGAATAGCTGTATCTGCAAACCAAGTTCAAAAAATCTGCCAGAATCAGTTTTCCACTGATTATTTCTTCTGATTTAATAGTTTAACTTTACTGTCTGAAAACCTTGGAGAGAATATTCTCATTGACTTCATGCATATTATATTTAATTGGACTAAAGAAGCTTTTATTGTAAGATTATTCTTCATACTAACCATCACACCAATGTGTCAAACCCTGAATTTTAATGTAAGCCAAGCAGGTCTTATTTTCTACATAAATATACATTTACATCAGAATTAGAGGTACATCTTAAAAGCTGGAAATCCTGAGTTACAATTCAAGCGTAGTCCAAAGAGCATTGAAGTCACATTTCAAAACTCCGTCAGGGAATGAAGACACCGTTTGATCCTCAGTCTTTACTTTTCGTCACTCTTTTTATCTTTGATTTGAGATTTCAGGATCTTCTCCACAGCAGCGTAGCCCTGGACCGCCGTGTCGTACGCGGAATCTCCGGTCGCCTTGGCGATGGCCGCCGCCTGCTCCGGGTAGTAAAGGGAGGCGCCCAGGGTCATAAGGCCCGTTGGGTAAAACACCTTCTTAATTCTGGATCCTCTGGCCAGAAAAAGTCCGGCGACGCCGGCTAAACCGATGACTCCTACCCGGGGATAGAAGTCTTTAGGAGGGTTCTGCAGATAGTCGTTCGCGTCGTTTCCCAACTGGACGACCTTCTGAACTTTGGGTTCAATTTCAGCGTACATTGACTGGCACCAAGTAGTGTACGGCTCAGCTAACTTCCTGACGGCGGCGACTTTCTCCTCCAGTTGACCCGCTTCAGACTCCTCATGCCGGACAGTTTGAGGAGGAGGAGGTCTTGTGTAGAGTGAAAGGTCGTCCAGGTTTATCGAGGATGTCTCTTCTTTTGCTCCCTCACCGGCATCATCAGCCGCAAAAACGGCGAAAGGCAGGAAACTCGAGGCTCCCGGCATGACTCTACCTGTCACCTTCAATATGATTGCTGAGGGCCATATACACTGGCTACGGAATCCGCCGAGGGACAAGACTGACTAGCGCCGCTTCTGTGATTTTTTTTCAAAACAGAAAAACCCGCCAAAATAAATCTGATAATGCCATTATAAATATATTTATATATATTCTATGCGCTCACACATTCTCCCTCTCACGTAATTAGTTAATTTAATTAAATGTGTGGATTAATTCAAATTATATTGAATATGGCCAAATTAACAAAACATATAAATATTTGAATAAAAACGGGGAAAAATGTTACTTATTATTATCAGTGTATTTATAATATATATTAAAGCTAAATATATTTTTAAAAAAATCAAAAGTAGAAAATTACACGAATATGGGTGTAAAACACTAATAAATAAAATAACCTTAAAAAGAAGAGCAGTAGTGTTCTTTTAATATTAAATGTGACATCAAGCTGGTTCATGTGGTGCCATTGAAATATTAGATTAAAAAAACTACATGCCCACTGCTTTAATATGTATGTTTAGTTATTAATATGTAACTATTTATGTTTTAGAACGGTGATTAAATTAAGCATAAATATTTAAGGTATATATCCTTAAAAGTATATGCATAATTTTTAAAATATGACTTTCACTTAGCTAATTTCACTCAGGCATTTTTTTTACGTACTTTTCAGGTCAACGTCGCTAGTTACCGTGGCAGCCAGTCTCCATGGAGACAGAAAACGACAACACCAAAGGTTCGAGCTCTACTCAGCATGCTAATCAGCTGAGCTTTCGCTTCATAGGGCCAAGTGATTTTTATCATTCGTTTTTAAGCAACGGTAGTTATCTTAAAACCGAAGTACAAGCATATTATATGCAGCAGCTGCAGTTTTAAGGCATTTTCTTTCTTATTTTCTTATTTTTTGTGATGGAATTTCTCGGAGTATCTCATTACCAAAACTTGCAGGCTTTGTCTGCGCTGTTAGCAACTCAGCAGGAGGAAGATGATGTTGAAGACTGTAAAGTAAGATTACTCACAAACACAAATAAACATTATGAGAAAGTTTATTTAAAAGAGTTAGTTGTTTTTTTATGTAATCATTCCATAAAAGTTATGTCTGGGTGCAGAAGAGTTGAATAACTAAATTGGGTTTATTTTAGCAAAATGCAACAGCCCATGGACAGCTTGGTCCTGGACATATTGGCCCCCCTCCTAAAAACGAAAAAGAAGGTATGTGCACTTGTTTATCTTGGTGAAATTTATTTTGAACAAGAACATGTTAAAAGCTCAACCTGACTTTCTGCTGATTTAGTGTCTACTGCCTACACAAAGAAAACCAGTAAAGATATCTGGAGTGAGGAGGAGGTGGCTGAAGGCTCTCAGTATGATGATCTGGATGACCCGAGACCACAACCTGAGTAAGACTGAGGAGAAAAACCTGTAGTGGTGCTGCCTTCATTCTAGATAGAATACGACACACAGGGTTCACAGTGGATTGCAACAAGAAAATCCTGGGTTTTAATCTTGGCCTGGGTTCTTCTCTCTGTGCATGTGTTGCTTTTCACCCAGTTTAAAAAGATGTTATTTGGTTACTCTAAAATTGCCCATTGGTACGATTGCAAGCAAAAAATGTTGCTTTCATTTGATAATCTTTACCAGAAAACTGAATAAGTGAGTTCCGTTTCCTCATTCTATGATAATGTGCAATTTTCATGTGCATTCTGATATGGCTCGTTACAGGTATGAAATTATCCTGAAGCAGAGTGTTGGGACAGAAGACTTGTTCCTGGGCTTAAGCCAGAAGGACCCATCTTCGATGTGCTGTGAAGCCATGCTGGTAATTTATTAAGCATAAATCAAGTTGTTCACTAAATGAATAAACTTCTTTCACATTGGAAAACATCTGCAAGCATTTGAATAAAGACAAACACAAAACCAAATGCAATTTACCAGCGGGTTTAAAATGTTAGGAGCTGCATTTTATTAAGAAACCAGACATTGTGATTTTATTGTTCAATAGTGTGATGACGATATAGCTTGTAATTAATCCACACTTTCCTCACTTTTCTTTTTCTTTCTAAAAACACAACTAAAGAATAGAGAAAGTCAAAGGATCAGGCAGAGTTTTATTGCATGGCACCTGAAATGTAAATCCTAGCAAAAACTTCTTCCAAGCTGTCCTTTATTGGGATAAAAACTGAAATCTATTATAAAGTGCATGTCTAATATAGGAACAGAAATATTACAAAGTATGGAATATGATTTAAGTGTTTTTCACGTCTAAAAAAAACACTTCTAGACATTGAAAAAATTGAGAATTTTTCCATACTCTTAATTTCCATCCTCTAAGAAATTAAGAGTATGGAAAAATATTTGTATTTCTAGACTTAATTTTTGATAGCATTCTCCCTCCAGTGCTCCCTTCTTTGTTTCATTTCGTACTTTTCTTTCATTCATTATCTCTTCACTTACAGTTATGCCCAACATTCATAGAAAATATAGCAAATATTTGTTCAAAAGATTTGTTTATACTTTTGAAATGATTATTGGTATAAACCGGGTCTATTTGGGATACTAGAATAATATTAATATTTTTTCCTACCCCTAGGTTAAAATAAAGCTACCCGACACAAAGGCAAAAGATGTCTTCTTAGATTTAAAGGAGAAGTACCTGGATCTGCGGACTCCAAAGTAGTAAGAGAGGTTTTGAAAATCTTGTCTTTTATTTTTGATCTCATAAGGAGAATTTGCTGCTCAGACTCACAGCTCAGATCCTCAGACATTTTACTTTAATCACTGTTTCAGATCTTGACCTGAGCTTCAATTGAGGTTCCAACCAGCTCTCAACATCCTCCTCAACTACTTAACATCTCTCTCCTTCTCACATCAATGCTTTCACTTGTCTCTCCCTTCTTTTTTCTTTTTAGTAAACTGGGTCTCCATCTCCCCCATCCCATCCAGAATCAAGAGGGCAAGGCACAGTTTTTTAGCGACAAGCAGGAACTGGAGGTGACTCTACCCATGCAGTGACCCATGGACTTTATCAACATGCAGTAAAAGAAGGATAAATGAATTATTTCAGCTTTAAAAAGAAGCAAACATCTTGGTGAGAAAGTTAGGATAGCACACACTGGCTCGTTAAAGTGCCTGAAAACAATGGTGGAAGTAAATCCAATTTATTTCTGTAAATTTTAATTAAATCTGGGCTCTTTTCCATATGCAATCTGATTTTATAAGAAGAAGTTATAATAAATATTTTCTGTGCCTCAGTAGCTCTACGCTTGATTTAATTTTTTTTTCTATCATGTCTGGAGAAAAAAGTAAAATAACTTTTTAAATTGAGTATTGGTTATTTAGATAACACAGTGCCCTTTTTATAGTTGAGTGATTTAGAAAGTAGACTTGAGTGGCTTGAAGCAAAACATTAAAGTATCGAGATAGAGGAACAAGACAGCAACATCACGAAAAGGAGAATTGGTCAGGACCTGAGTTTCCCCACTTTTTAGTTTCTGACTCATCTTTGCATCAACCAACCATTTACTATGCACTAAATATACTCTGCAACATTTTCACTTTAGAAGTAGATTTTTCTTGAAAGAGAAAATGTTTTATTTGCATCACAGAGTGTTTTTTTATGTATCACATAAATATAATTGTATCATAGTCAAGATGTTTCTCCGTGCAGCTGCAGAAGGTGTACAAACTAATTGAACAAGATGTGTCTGCTGAAGTTTCCCAGACGAGTCGTCTGGGAACTTGCTGTCTTTCCCATGGCCTTCCCTGCACGGAGATAGATTGTTTAGGTTTCGCATCCCGTAGACATGATAGTTGAACTGTTCCTTCTGTCTGTTTTCCTTTGTTTGGTCCTTGAAGATTAAATCTCTGCCTCTGTTAGCTGAGAAAGAGGTGAATACAGCATCTGTGTAACTCTGAGTTCATTAGAGCAGATTTAGATTTTCGCCTCATGCAGTGTATTTTTGCTCTCCGTCTGCAGACGTATTAAATATTGTTTTTGCTCCCTGACTTTTGACTAGATCTCAGTCTCTGAGTTGTGCACTTCACACTTTTTATGGAAAAGTGTGCATGATGCATGGTTTTTAAATGTTTTTACAAATGAAACACAGCCACTCTGACTGAGTCAGCACTCTTTAGGACTACCTTTCACAGAGCTACAAGTCAAAAGTCTCTTGAAGGTCTGCACATGTGGACCTTTCGCCCATTCTTCTTTCAATAATAGCTCAGTAAGTTAGGATCGAGAGCATCTGTGTTGTAAGACGAATCCTGCTATAATTAAGATTGCAATAATTGGTTACAAGTAATCAAGTTAAGTTGATCCAAGTTTAACTTCATTCACTTATTTGTGACCAATCACATTGTTTTTAACAGGTGTAGATGTGTTAGTGGAAAATTATTTTACTAAAGCAAATTACAGTATAGTAATAGATAGCCTAATCTATAGGCAGGTATTAACTGATGCATCCTTTTGCCAATGACTCCATGTTGTTGTCAAAGAAATCAATAATGACTTGATCATTTTCAATACTTCAATATTGTTTATATTCACAAAAATCCTAAATCACTACAACTCATATGAATATGGGTGTCCATAAACGAACAGGTTTATGAACCTATTAGTTGGACATATTGCTTTATTTTTCTTTTGAAAAAGAAAGCAAAAGAAAAAACTCTGGGCCTTCCCAAAACAGTGGGGCCCAATCAAATAAAGAAATGTTGCATATTACTTAGTCACTCATCCGTTCATTTACTAAATATACTTCATCTTGCAGGATCATGGGGGGGCTGGTGCTTCTCTCCAGCAGTCATTGGGTGAGAGGTGGCTACCCCCCCGGGACTGTCCACCACAGTCGCTTAAATTCATATTTCTAGGGATCACCCTAACTTTGGAGAATGCCCCCTTCACCTCTATAAATGAAAACAGATCTTTGTATCTCATATATTTCTTATAGTTATATTAGCTGGCCTAAAATAATAATAAGTTTCCTGTATTGCAGATGTCAATAAATGGGAAGTCACGATAAGTAAATAACAGAAGCATAATGCGCCTGACCTAATGTTAATATCAGGGCGCATTTCTCCGAGTCATGCCCGGTGAGAGCAGTGCCACACCCTCGGGCACCGTTACCGCAGCAGCACCGGTACTGGGTGCTCTGGTCTGGTGTTGGTGGGTGGGTGCGATCATGTGACGCCTTCATTTCCGAGACAACAATACAACACCGAATCGGTCTGCATCGTCTCTCCCGCTCTCTCTCTCTATCTCTCCCCCTTACCTGCGCCTTGCTCTCGTTATGGCGGACGGCGAGAGGTCCCCGTTGCTCTCAGATTTGGGGGATGGTGCTCTTGGCAGCGGTAACGGCGGGGTTTCCCCCGGCGGTGGGTCCTACAGTGTGCCCAACAAACCTGAGGGTGAGTATGCAGGGTGATGCATCCTCTGTCCTTACTCCAGCCTCTGTTAGCCTAGCTTACCATAGTCACTAGCACTGACTGAGCATTACGGTTAGCCTGCTAGCTTCACTATGACAGGGACTAATTGTGGAGGGTTTATGTTGCTTGATAAGGATATTCTACATAATAGCATCTAATGAACACACTCCCACTGATAAATTGTGTCGTTTTATAGAATTTATATGAATTTGTATTATTAGCCTAAATGATGCTAACTCTTTAGCAACTGTTTGCTAAGCTTTACCGTGAACCAGTTTTAATGACACTATTGGAATTAATATTTTTGGGGCATTCTGTTATTTTGAATGGTTTGTTTTAGCCAAATGTAGTCTCTGGCTGTCCAAATAGAAGAAATGGTAGCGGTTGGCTAGCATTATAGAAACACCTGATTTGATTGACAGGAGGAAGTGACTACGGATGCTGCGGAGGGATGCTGCGACCAATCATAACTCCCAGGAAAAGCATTTAGATATTCAACGAGAATAGATTTCACTTTTCACTAGCCTCTTGGCTTTCTCTGAATAAAAAAGAAAAAAGAGCAGACAGTTTTGCATGCTTTTATGTGATTTTTAGGTTAAGCTGTTCCACACATGTGGTTTAGCTTTTGCTAATTCCCGGCTCTGCTCTGCATTCCAAGACTGTTTTTCTACTAAAGCTCCTTTCTGCTGAACTCCAAACCTAATCTCATTATCTTGTTTGCTGTAATGGGTTACTTGTCATGAGTCTTTTTTTCTCAGTCCACTGCATTTCTCTTGTGACTTCCAACAATCATGCATTTGTCACACAGGCATTACTACGCTTATATTTTGTATTCTATCCTCCTTGTTCAGGCTTCCCCCCTTTCCCCAGTGCCAGTCAGCCCTCGGTACTCCTTGGGGAGGACCCTCCACCCTACTCCCCACTCGCCTCTCCGGAGAGCGGAAATGCCCCTGTTATCAGCTGCAGGGTGTGTCAGAGCCTCATATCCGTGGAGGGGAAGGTCCACCAGCATGTGGTGAAATGTGGGGTTTGCAATGAAGCTACGGTGAGTTACTCCAAAAGAGTGTCCAGCTAAATATGTAAAAAAACTCTGACACAAAACTTGGACAGAAAATAGAGGCACCAACTATTAGATCTGTCATCTCAAATTAGTTTAGATATCAGTTTACCACAGATTTATTGAGGAAATTGCACTGTTTTTAAAACTGATCCAGGCTCTGCGCTCAATTCCAATTTGTTGAAAATACTTATTTACAGCACTGTCTCCACCTTTTGCTAGAGTTTTCAGCAGAATTGAAAATGTCAGAACAATTTAAATTAAGGTAATTTCCAAATCTGGATAAGAAGAAAGAAACAGAGTACAGAAAAAATATGTGCATTTCTGCACTTTTTTTCATATCCCATTCTCAAGGGATTGTATTCATTCATTCATTCATTTATTTATTTAATTAATCATTTATACACTCAGTCATTCATGGATTCCTAATTGCACTTTCTGAACCATCTGAACAAACGTTTGTTGTAGTTTATTTTTAAATGATTGACTAAGGTATTCAACCTTTTTGTTTTTGTCAGTTTGTTTTGTTATTATTCATTTTACATTTGCTGTTGTATTTCTAAATGCACTGACTGTACAACTTAAAGTTGCGTTCCTTTTACATGTTAGACCAAGCTTGTGAATCTGTTAGTGTATTTAAGCGCAATATACTGGTGCAGAGTTGTAAAATATATTTATAATTTATGTCTGTGTTTTGAAATAAGAATTGTTTTAAGTTAATTCAGCACTGTTTTTCTGTTTTGGACTGGTATCAGCACATTAAACCTCAGATGTTTGTATCGGAAATGAACCCTCTAAGAATAAGCAAGTATAGACAATTGATGAATTTGTGTGTTTTGTGTTTTAATGTCACCGAGTAGAAGGCTCTGGAAAGCTCTGAAATGTTTAGATGAAAATGTGTAGAAACCTTGTTTGCTCCAACTACTTGTATTTTAACTCAGCATTTTCCTACTGACATTTTCATAAAGTATCCTGATGTTGAGCTTGTGTGGTTTTAAAATTGATTCAGAGTCATCCTTGTCTGCTTCATTAAGAATACAGAAATCAATTTTATTCTTCACCTGTTGTTAAACGGGTATACAAAATTAGAAAAGCTAATAGGAGAAATGGTATTAGATTTTTATCTGCATATGCATATTAGAGACTTTTATTTTTACATTTTCCAATAAAAATGTCTCCATTGTTCGTCTTGACAGCAGACTGGACTGGACTTGTAACAGTGAAGCTGTTAAGGAACAGAGCAGACTTTCTTGGGAAAGCTTAGGTTCTTGAAGTAATTTAAGGTAATTTTACTTCACTTAGAAGTAAATAAACCATTTCAACGTCACACTGGCAATAACATAGATTCTTGCTGTATCAAATATAAGTGGACAGCTCTAAATATGAACAGTTTTTAAACACGCTGAGTCATTTGACATTGACATGGTTCAGCTTGTCGACAATATTTCCAGTTATTTATTGCAAAACTTCTGATGCACTTACTGACTGATGTAAAATCAGTAAAGCTGGATAGAATAGTGTGTGACTACAGAGTTTAGAACCAGATCAAAGGCACTGAGGTCGTTGACCACTCCAAAACTCCTCTGCTGTATATTCACTGACAGCTCACTGTTTGATGCACAACTTGACTGTGAGCGTAAGTGCTGGTACACAGCACTTCCACATTCCAGTGGAAAGCTAAGATTGTTGTTGTGTAACTGACAACCCTTTTATGGCATACTGAGTAATATCAAGTTATTTAGCAATGAGAACAAACATTACAGCAAACACCAAGTCCTGATTTTTTTTTAACAGTACCACAAAGATTTCAGTAAGAAAAGAACAACAAATAAAGATCCACAAGTTGCTATTTTCAATTGCCTTTTTGATTGTAACAATGCTAATTATTGTTAAAATGTAGTAAACCAAACTGACTGACTTCCAATTCTTATGAGACTTTAAAATCCTTCACAAGATTCATAAGCTGCCACAATTCTCCCTCTTGAGGCCTCAGACAGCTGTTTGGATCTCACAATGGTGTTCACTCTCACTTCATCAGTTAGGAGCACAACAAATTAAATGTCTGAGGATTAAACAGGAAGAACCTTCTGAATGCCGAGTAATTGGGTCATAATCAAGTGTAGAGGATGCGCTATGGCTGTGTGTCAAATCAGCCCATTTTAAAAGGTCTATTGATTGTTTTATCACTTGAACTTTTCAGTATTGTTATAATTTACCATCTTCTTTTGGCTTTTCTATTGAGATTGCCCCTGCAGATCATCTTTCTCATTTTAATCCTCGTTTTTTTTTTTTTTTGTTGTTGTTGTTGAGGGTTTGTTTTTTTATGTTTCCATTTCCCTAACCTTTTATTAGTCATACCATCTAAGTCAGTGGTGCCCAAAGTCAGTCCTCAAGGGTCGACATCCTGCAGCTTTTAGTTCCCTCCCTGGTGGTAGAACCAACCTTTTCAGAATGTCAATGTTTTTCTTAGGCTTTCTAATGAGCCATCATTGCATCCAGTGATAGGCCCA